GCACCTATCGGACGCCTATCGGCAAAAGTCCCTTATAAGGCCACGCCGTCCCGTTTCCTTGGCGACATTCAACGTCCGCACTCTAAGACAAACAGGTCAGCAGGCTGCACTCGCACGCACCTTGGACACACTGGGTGTTGATATGTGTTGTGTGTCCGAAACTAGGATTAATGACCCTAACGGGGTTATTGAATTGACTGCACCCGGCTTATCCTCTCGTTATTGGTTGCACGCATCCGGAGACGCCGATGCGGCACTCACGGGTCAAGCTGGTGTAGGTATCATTCTCAGCTGCAAGGCTGAGTCATCGTTGGTTGATTGGATTCCGGTGAACAGCCGTTTATGTGCAGCCCGTTTGACGACATCTGCTAAGGTGAATTCGGGAAGTAAAACAAAACGCTGTTTGTGATTTCTGCTTATGCTCCCACCGACTGCAGTTCTAATGCAGTCAAGGACACTTTCTATCACGAACTGAACACTCTGCTACGCAGTACTACTAGTTCAGATATTATAGTACTTGTAGGGGATATGAACGCACAAGTAGGGCGTCTGAGCTCTTCAGAAGCTCAGCTGGGTGGTAAGTATGGACTTCACGCCGAACGGACTGATAACGGCGAGCGTCTGCTGCAACTGTGTGCGGAGCACCAGTTGTTTCTTACTAGCACTGCTTTTAGACACAGTGGGCGCCGAAGTGCTACTTGGCGTCCACCTGTAGCTGGCCAGCGATGGACCCAAATTGACCACATAGCCATAAGTTACAGGTGGCGCGGTTCCATTCTGGATTGCCGCTCGTACTGGAGTACCTGTGTCGACTCTGATCATGCCTTGGTGCGCTGTCGTTTCTCCATGAAGTTTACCGGGAGGCGCACAAAGCGTCTTCCCCGATTGGCAACGGAGAAATTGTCCCAGCCCTCTGTCAGGCAAGCCTATCAAGAAGCACTGCATAGCGAACTCTCGCTGTCTTGTCCTAATGACACTGAACTTCAGTGGAATAGGATCTCGGCCGTCATGCACGACGCAGGAGCATCTGCTTGTGGCACTATCAGTCGTCACCGCACCAGTCACTGGATATCCGAGAGGTCCGTGAACCTATTGGAATCTAGAAGACACCTCCCGGCTGGTTCTGAACACAATGTGACCAGACGGGCTATTAGGCGTGAACTAAAGCGGAGCCTATGTGCTGACAAGGAAGCCTGGTGGACCAGTCGGGCTCAAGAAATGGAGGAGGCAGGAGCAGTAGGCAATTACCGGAAGCTCTTCCAACTAATACGCACCACTGGTCCCAGAAAACCAGGCGTCAGTGAGACAATCAGGGACAGCGCGGGTGCGCTGATACACAATAAGGAGCGCCGTATGGCTCGTTGGGCTGAACACTTTCAAGATCAGTTCAGCTGGTCCCCTGCTCCCGGACGTCTTCCTACTCAGGTGATGCAGGACGAGCCATGGACGGTTAGTTTAGAGCCTCCGTCGGAGGCCGAGGTCCGAAACGCGATCACAGCCCTTAATCGTTTTCGTGCCGCTGACCCGGATTCCCTCCCACCTGCACTATTTAAGGATGGAGGTGAGGTCCTCTGCAGGGCACTGACCTCCCTATTCGAACGTATCTGGAACGAAGACAGTGTGCCGGCTAATTGGAGCGAATCGATTATAGTGACGATATACAAGAAGGGCAGTCGCACAGACTGTTCTAACCACAGGGGTATTAGCCTAACGCCAGTTGTGACAAAATTACTGGCCTCGATTCTCGTTCGTCGCCTCACTGCAGAACGGGAATCTCGGATTAGGGAAGAGCAGGCCGGTTTTCGCCCAGGACGTGGCTGTATAGACCATATATTTACTTTGCGGCAGGTGCTAGAGCAGCGCTACGCATACCGCAGACCGACAATTGCTGTATTCCTCGATTTAAAGAGTGCGTTCGATTCAGTCGATCGATCGATTCTGTTCGAAATACTTGCGCGGAAAGGTGTTCCCACGAAATATGTGAACATCCTTCGTGCTCTATACTCGAACACTACAGGCCGCGTCAGGGTCTATGGTGCCCTATCGGATAGCTTTCCGATCACAAGTGGCGTTCGTCAGGGTTGTCCGATTTCCCCGTTTTTGTTCAATTTCGTCGTGGATTCTATCATGGAGTGTTCCCTTGCGGAATCTCATGATGTAGGCGTTGAAGTGCTGCCTGGTGAAAGGTTAGTTGATCTAAATTATGCGGACGATATCGTGTTGCTTTTCGACGATGTTAGGGGGGGGGGGCACAATCAACCCTGAATAGCCTGTCCAGAGTGGTCCCATTATTTGGTATGCACTTCGCACCTCCAAAGTGCAAAGTGTTGCTGCAGGACCACCAGCCATTTGATGACCCCTTGACGCTTGCTAACGAAGAACTCGAGGTGGTTGATCAATTCACTTATCTTGGCAGCTGCATCAGCAATGATGGGCGCATAGAAACTGACGTGAGCTCACGCATTGCAAAGGCTAGAGCTGCCTTCTTGAACCTGCGTCATCTTTGGCGACAGAAGGGAGTTTCCCTCCGCCTGAAAGGCCGTGTATACAAGGCCACAGTGAGGGTCGTTCTGCTGTATGGTAGTGAAACTTGGCCCCTTCGGTCGGAAGATCTGAGGCGCCTTCAAGTCTTTGATCATCGTTGTTTGCGAAGAATTGCTGGTGTCGGATGGCACCAGCGTGTCCGCAACGATGATGTGCGTAGGCGAGTACTAGGTAGTGATAATCATGCTAGCTCCCTAGAACAACAGATAGCACTGAATAAGTTGCGTTGGCTCGGGCACGTGCTACGCATGCCTGGTCACCGCTTACTTAGGAGGGCCTTGTTCAGTCTACCAGGTGTCGGATGGCGCAAGGCTCGAGGTGGACAGAAGTTGACTTGGCAGCGAGAAATGAAGTCACTGACAACTAAACTGGGTGCCGTTGGTCCGTCTCGCCTTCCGGGTTGGAGTCCACGTGACTCACCTTGTGCTTGGCTTGAGACTTTACAGGACATGGCTCGCAGTAGACACCAGTGGCGCGTCTGCTGCCGTCTCCTAATCGGATTGCCTGTTTAAAGTATGTTTGGTGCTGAGTTATCTGCGGGGTAATGGCTGATTATGACGCGGGGCAGTGAAAGCCGCAAGGAAGCTGTCTGGTCGATGCCGCCTTATCTTTGCACGATAGCCAGCTGTTTGTGACGGTATGTTGTTTACACAAGGTGTAGGCGCCTTGACCCAGAATGTTTGCTTAGGTTTTCAGGTAAGTCCCCCTTCTCTCCCTCTTCTTATTCTTTATTTCATAGGTCCTCATGGTTGTATGGCAGCGAAGCATCAGTTCAAATGGCTGATGTACTGCTGTTGATGATGATGATGGTGACAACAGATTGAAAACGTACTGTATAACGCTACAGTCCCGTCAGTATTATCGTGTGATGACGGACTTGGCCACAACACCTGAAAATGTTAATGAACGGTTCGCCTTCGTTCGCAAGGAATCACTAAACGTTACTTGTATCCGATGGGTCCAACATTGAATTACTTGTCCATGTTTGACAGCAAATCATGGGGTTCCGCGCAAGACCACCGATTAGACGTGAGGTTCTTGTGGCCACTAGGATGCATTCATCTCTCACCCATCTTTTTTCGCGAATACTTCTTTTGAATATTCGGCCATGTGGTAACGCAGCTCGAGCAGGCAGTGCGTGATCAAATGTTTGGTTCAATCTGTGCTTGCTATCTTTGCGGTCGTGGGATAGGTCATATTGGTAGGTTTAATTATCCCTCCGGATGTGGTACAGTTAGGATACCGTTAATGCCATTGCCTTCGACGATCGATTGTTAATCTTTTCATTTAATTAGTCTGGCCCTTTCTATCGTCCCATTTTTCATTGATAATGTTCTCTTGTTTATTTTCCACCTGTATTAAGGTCATCTGGTTGGTGGATCCTTGACGCGCTTGTTCGGTACCCCTAACTGCTCCGATTATCATTGGCTGTTTCATGAACGACGTCTATCCATCACTCATTCCATGTGGAAGATGGATGGTCTACTTACCTTTGGATCCGCAGATTTTAACATTGGGTTGGGAAGGAATTTCTACTGACTGGGTGTCTCATCTTCACTTGCCAAACAGCCTGTGCCCAACTGATGCATTTTCTTGTCAGTCCTTCTAATACCTCCAGTTAATTTGCTCTCATAATCGAACTTGCTCTGCAACCAGTTGTTCTTTGAACATGGAATCCAATTTCGTAGCAATAGTAGTTTTCACGTTGCTAATGTTCGATCATGTTGCTAACCTATCTCAACATGGATTAATCACGCTCCTAAATGATCGGGGCAATTTCCGTACACACTTAGTGTAAGCGACAAACCGCTTGGAAGTCTTGAGCTCACCCGTTTCCACCAGAATCAAAACAAAAATCCGGTACTGGATAGCGGTACTCAACAATACGTGTTTCCAGCAATGTCCAAATCGATGACTTTCAATTCATTCAAAATAGCTATGGTTTGGCTTTAAGTCGCAAGTGAAACAGGTGTGGGGGATCGCGGTGCTTAGATCGGTTCCGAGTGTTTTCTGATGACGTGACACCTCAGTTTCTCGCCACCTTCAAATATGCTGTTGATATAATTGAGGTGTTCCATTGCTTCACTGTGCCGGAGCCACACCTAAAAAATACGTACCTTCATTCGTCTATTATTCGTTTTTTGCGAATGCGATTTCTCACTGATCATTCTTGCTAGTTATGAGCTTATGTTTTCGTGCTTAGGATCTGACGGTCACGTATCTAAGGCGATTAACTCTTACGAGTCTAGGTGTTTCGATGACAGATAGGTTATGCAGCTTAGTACCATGCTTCTGCTCCGAGGTTTTTGAACCAGTGTCAACTCAACCATACGTTTCCCATGAGCTGCACTTGATGTTCTTTCTAGTGAACATCCTTCATTTTGTAACAGTCATTGTTGACGCTCAGATGGTAAGGCACCAATTACTTATCATGTTTTTGTCCCTTTTTTCCTTAGGGCTACGACGAATTAATGGATGCAAATGAGTGCGAGCGTCTGTCAGATTTCCTCCGAGTTGAAGTGAACCGTACTCCAATGGAATTTACAACCACGTAATTTCTCATCACCAACTGATTCCTTTTGATCCTCACTTCCTCTCTGTTACTTGTGCAGGTGACCGAAATTGTTCACTTTTTTAGTGATTACCCCTCTTTACGTGTTGATTTTCTTTTATCTCACACCCACGACCTTGCACTTTATCTTGTCACACAGACACTACGTCTTGCTTGCTAGATATCAGTACTTCAGACATTCCTGTTATTTCAGAGTCAATGAAGAGCTACTGATCTTCCATAGTTCTTTGAACTTCTTTTCATTCCACCAATTTCTTCTCTGCGGAGTTTCCCCAGTCGTTTATGTTGATTTTCTACTTGAAGCTGGTTAAGCCGTTTTCAGTTTTGCACTTTTGTCTTTCCCGTCGCCAAATCCACTAAGACTGTGGCCCCAGTATAGGGAGCAATAAAGCTACTTTTTAAGCAACCTGGACCTTCTCTACAAACCCAAGAGAGATGGGGACACCGATTTGTGAAAACTCTGGTAACCTTTAATGCCATACATTTGTTCCCCTTTTACTATCCACGATAATCAAAAGAATGCGTAGCATACCCAGTGCTTGTTTGCGCCTTTCTTACCAGTCTTCTTAGCTTGTGACATTCTTAGTATTGAAACAGCTCCACGCGACTGCAAGGCAAATGGTCAGGTTTGACAGCTAGGGGATTCCGCTACCGTTCTTCCCGTTGATTCATGTTTTCATATCATATTCTTACTCCTTCCAAGAATCTTTCAGCTTCCATCAGACGGGAGCAGATTGATGGCGAGTGTCACTTCAGCCCATCAGTGGTATCAAAATCAAATGTTCCCATTTGAGGTTTCCTTGGCGGTTCTAAAAAAAAACTTCACTCATGCTAGTACCTTCGTTTAGGTATGTTGATCTTCCTTCTTTGTTTATCGTAAGCATTCTAAGTTCCAATATACTTATCTGATCTGAAGACGTCTGGCCTTCAGTGCTCACTTCTATCTTGTCACTTTCAAATAAACCCATACATGCGTGCCGAACTGATTTACTACTCACGAAATGTATTCTGATAGATCTTTAGTTCTTTCGAGTAATTTTTTCTTGCTTGCGTGAAACCGTCCGTTCCCCAACAGCCGCTATCGCTGAGTTTGAACGTCGTATATCTAAATAAATGAATAAGCTTTTATTCTCGACTACGCGAGGCACGCCTTTAGTGGCATGACCATAGGGGTGCAATAGTGTACATTACATCGATTAAAGATAGATCAGACAAATGAAAATACTAGTTAGTTATTAACAGTTGAAAGGACACAGATGGTTTTCCTCAATGCCAACATTTGTGGCGCATGACCCGATGTTTGACAAAAGTAGCTAGTGATTCTGTTACAGAACGATAGAGCAAAGCCCAAGCATTGGTAGCAATTAGCATGTTGGAAAAAGCAAGTTGTGTTTGAGCGTGTGTCGTAAATTTGCGCTCGGCAGGCCATGCGATGAACGTCATTCGGTCATCGGAAACAATGTTAACGCATCAAGATTACTGGCGGGGCTGCACACAGGATTGCAAATCAGTCTGGAGTACGTATCTCACTCCGGACCACGCGCTCGTGTGTGCCAAGATTGCTTTACGTTCTGGTGGCTCCCGACGGCGTTGCCGGAAACGACATGACGTAGCCACACTTTCTGCCCTAAGTGTTCTCAGTGCGTTTCAGGAAACGTTTGCCTCAAATATCAGAAGCGCCACACTAACGTTGAAACGCACTGGGCGCACTACCGCAGCGCCATGCACAACTCTGCGACCATGGTCTGTGATTACACCAGTAGTCTTGTCAACAAAACAAGAAGAAACAACCTTTTAACAGAATTTACTGAATTCAGCAATTTCACGAATTCTCACCAGCTGTTTACACACTGTTAGTGGAGAACAGTGCGATGTTAACAGCAAAATTTCAAAGCGGTCTGAGGTCCTTAGACTCACGTGACCCTTTCCGAGGAAAACGCAATCACTAGCCGCACCAGGGTAGGGCTAGCGTGGTCACGAAATCCATTTGCTTGCACAGGTTTGGCTTCAGCCACCGAATCGCTGCCGCCTCCACAAACTGTAGTAAGCGGGGGTTAGCTTGTTTGCTAACTACGCTGAAATTGCCACGTGAGTTTTGGCATTCATGGCAGTCAAGTATGTGGCGTGCAATAGAGCTAGTCGGTAGCTTCGGACCCTTAGCGGTCATGTTTCGCGGAACATGCTCTGCAATCCTCGCTGACAGCATTCTCTCAGTTCGGCCTATATATTTATTACCGCAAGTAAAATTAAGGAGGTAAATGCATGAGGCGGTGACTCGAGAGTCCGGTCTGTCCAGGTTGGATTTACAGAGCAAATTTCTGACTTGATGTAATACCACTAGCTCAGCCGTTCGTGAACAATGAAGATACATCGAAAAAACCATGTGCTTTCCCTTTGACGAATGAATGAATCATTCGTCAAACAATTTCTTGATGCTCTGGCCACCGCAGCGGATAATCAACGGTGCCCTCTCTGCTGCACTGAACAGGGTGGATAGGGGTTTGGATGTTACTGCTCAAGCCTTCCCTTCTTCTTATTCCCCCAATTACACTTTTTCACTCCTTCCGTCCCGTTCCAACTTCACATATATCCCCCCAGTTTTCAACCCCCCGATTCTCGGCTCTCCCCCAACATGCTCCGCTCTGCATTTATCTACTAATTTCAACGCACATGCTAACGGGGAGCGTCACTCCTCTACTGTCGACAAGCCCATGTCCAACCAAGCGGTCCATCCCAGTTCATCGGCTTCCATTTGGAGCCCTCGATCCTCCTTCAGATTAGCACGCCTCAATGTACGCACATTACTTTAGATCGGTCAACAGGCAGCACTTGCCCGAATATTGGAGACCCTCTCGATCGAAATCTGCTGCTTATCAGAGACCCGCCTGCAAGACTCGAGCTCTGCGCTCACTTTACGATCCCCTTCAGGTGATGCAAGCAGTATTTTCTCATTGCCTATACGGGGACGATGCAGCTTCGAGCACGGGCCAGGCTGGTGTTGGCATTGCCCTGAGTCCCCGGGCTGAAGGTGCTCTGGTTGATTGGATTCCAATCAGTAGCCGGATGTGTGCGGTCCGATTGGCTGGCTCGTTCAAAGCTTCGAAGTCGCGCGGGACTAATAGGTGTCTATTCATCATCGCTGCCTACGCGCTCACAAACTGTAGCGATGATTCGGTAAAGAACGACTTCTATCGCCAACTGACCCAGCTCCTTCGCTACAGGAGAAGCACGGACACTGTTGTGCTGGCTGGGGATCTGAACACACAAGTTGGAAAGTTGTCCACTGATGAAATGCATCTGGGCGGCCAGCACGGTGTAGGCTCCCGTAATGATAACGGTGAGCGATTACTTCATTTGTGTGAAGATGCTCGCTTATTTCTTGCGAGCACTAATTTCCGACACAGCACCCGCCGGAGGGTGACTTGGTGCCCACCAGCCATGGACGCAAATCGATCACATTGCTATCAGTTATCGATGGAGAGTCTGCGTCCAGAACTGTCGCTCGATTTGGAACACAGGTGTGGACACCGACCATGCAGTTGTATGTGCTGACATGCGGATGCGTTTTGGCTGACGCCCACGACGATGCTGTGAGCACATTGACACCAGCCAACTGACAAAGCCAGCTGTTTTGAATGCCTATCAAAGTACGCTGTCATGCGAGTTGAGTACGCGCTCACTGGATGCAGTTGAAGCTCACTGGTCACATGTTCGCCAGACTTGATTAGCAGCCGGCAAATCTTCATGTGGTAAGTCTAATCGCCAACATGAATATTGGGTCTCTTCGCAGTCTCTGGAACTTATCGTTGCTCGCCGGCATATTCCGGCTGGAAGCGAACACATAGAAGAACGCAAAGAGTTCTGGGCAAGACTCCGTGCTAGCCTGAAGGGAGACCGCGAATCTTGGTGGTCTCATTGTGCATCAGAGATGGAAGTGGCCGCTGTCCTTGGTAACCATCGTAAGTTATTCCGTCTGATACGGAAAACGGACAGTAGGAGACCTGATGTTAGTGGAACTATACGTGACGAGAGTAGACAGCCTATCCACAACTTGTCAAAACGCTTGGAGCGTTGGGCTGAGCATTTTGAAAAGCAATTTAATCGGCTAGAATTGTTCGATTCTTCGCCGGCCATTGGTCGTCCTGCTCCGTGGGCTGTCCCTTTGGATCCACCCTCGCTCAGAATTCGAACGTGAGATTGGACTGTTAAAGTTGAACAAAGCCGCGGGACCAGATGATCTTCCTCCAGCCCTCTTGAAATTCGGAGGCTATACTTTTGTTGATGCTTTACATGAATTACTAATGAAACTGTGGGAGCAGGAAACTGTCCCAACCGACTGGATCCGCTCTGTTATTGTTCTCATCTCCAAAGGAGGCTAGCGTTCTGAATGCGGCAACCATAGAGGAATCAGTCTAATCTCCATCGCCTCCAAATTACTCGCCTCTATAATTCTTCACAGACTGACTGGCGCTTGTTAAAGCCAGATTCGTGAGGAGCAAGCCGGGTTTCGTCGTGGTCGTGGCTGCACCGACCACATCTTCAACTTGCGTCAGTTGTTGGAGCACCGTCACACATATTGGCGGCCCACTGTAGTCGTGTTCCTCGACATCATTTAGTACCGTAAAAGAAAATAATTTTTCTTTCTGCCTAGTGGCCAGCTGGTAGCTTACATGAACGATGCCTATCCGTTGCTAGTAGCTCAGCTGGCATGCAACTGTTGTATTTATTTTCTTTTTCGTTTATGTATTGCGGCACAGTACCTGAGGTGTTTCCCACCTCTAGCTGAGGTATATAATGAATGATGTGGTTTCCCTTCGCATTTGAATTACTTATCTTGTGGGCAAATTCAAATGTGAATCTTAGACTGTAGCTCGTCAGTTCCCTCCGAATGGGCTCCATAAGTTTCGCTAGCCATCGCGCTAATTTTTGGTATGGTGTGTCTACCATTAAGACGATTGGACGTATTGGGACACCTTCCTTATGAGTTTTCGGTAAGCCATTACATGTAAGGAAGTCGTGATCCCCGGGGGTGTAACTGGGTCAT